TTCTGTATATTGCAAAGTTGTATCGAGAAAGAATAAACTAGTTTTATTTAAGAAAGGACTTGTATCGCTGAAGTTCCTCGAAAAGAATTTACAACGGAAATTAACAAACGAACAGATACGTAACATTACTTTGAAATATATGATTGCTGTTAAAGGTACATTGTTTTAATGAAGTACAAACGTTCCCCTTCAGTTGACGGCTATTTCAACTTGTCATTAATAGGAAGGAACTATGTAATTACATACAATAAAATCACAATCACAGAGAATGAAACGAAGGCTTTGATTTTGAACGAAATATAGAAAAGCTTCTTATGTTAAAACAATATGTTTTAAAAAATATTGTAATTCTTTGACTGCTAAAACAATATATAAGGACATCGTAAAAATCCTGGAACATTCAAAATTATATCACCACTTGTGTAGCATCTAAGCCTTACAGTAGAATCAAACCAATTTATAAAATTCTGTTGCTCATGGACTTCTTAAAGTAGTTTGGTAAAATTTGACATTAATGAAAATGGGACTTACAACTGTGCTAATTTTTATTTCTCGTATGGACTTCTTAAAGTAGTGTGGTAAAATTTGACATTAATGAAAATGGGACCTACAACTGTGCTTATTTTTATTTCTCGTATGGACTTCTTAAAGTAGTGTGGTAAAATTTGACATTAATGAAAATGGGACCTACAACTGTGCTTATTTTTATTTCTCGTATGGACTTCTTAAAGTAGTGTGGTAAAATTTGACATTAATGAAAATGGGACCTACAACTGTGCTTATTTTTATTTCTCGTGTTTGTCGAAACTGGAAAGGACTGACGTAATTGTTTGTGTTTTCATGTTTGTAAAGTATGTTTGTTTTTCTTATTAAGCGCAAGGCTGCACAATGGGCTTTCTGTACTGTGCACACTGCGAGTATTCAAACCCGATTTTTAGTGTTTTAAGCCCTCAGACTTATCGCTGAGCCGCCAGGTGGCATTTATAAAAATATTACAAATAAATAGAAAGAGAACCTTGTAGGTACTTACAGCTCATGGGTGCTGACCCACTTAAACTTTGTACTAGAAGGAACGTCACATCCGCCAAGTTTTGTTGAGTGACGTCACGAAGAGAGCTAGGCTGAATCGTCGTCTGAGCGATCGCCAAAAGACTGAGAACGTCGTTCGTAAGCACAGAACTGATAGGCATTTCCAATCTGTGACATTGGTTGTATTATGAAAAAACATACAATCAATTAAAAATTTACTTTCCATACTAAATATGAACAAAATATGGTCTTGATCTTCCTCTACAAAATAGGGTTAAAAGCAGAGTCAAGTATTAGTTTTTCTGAATTTCGTACTTCTCATAAGAAAGAATAATAATCGCCATATCTACAGAAATAATACAATTATCTAGACAGTCTTATTAAACAGGGTGGTATAGGGATGGTTGGTCTCTTCCTCATGAGATGGGTCGCGGTTTAGCCCTATGACGGAGCTCTAGATTTCGGATCCTAGTTCAAATCAGTACGATACCACAGAATATTTCAAGCACATTAAACTGTGGATGCGTTATGAGAGTGACAGTCAATCCTTAGAGTGAATGGTTGGTTGTAAGGTGTTGCTGACTGGCTGCCTTCCCTTTGCCAATAGTTCAAAATTAGGAATGACGGCAGATAGTTTAGTGGCTTTGTCATAGATATATAGTATAAATTCTCTTGTGAGAAAATTAAAATTCTAAGAACTAGCACAGAGGACCGTTTTGGTCCATACTGTTTCCGATGATGGTTAAAATATCTCCTCTTCAACAATGTATAACTTACATAAACGGATAACATTGTCCAAAGAGCCAGGTACTAGTAAAATCAGAAGAGCTCTATGTGATTTGTTGCTTTTAAATACATATTATTAACGAAGACTTTAAAACTCTGGAGTTCTCAAGGTGAATGCAGAGGGCCAATTTATCCATGTACCAAAATATAATCAAAACTTGACAATATGGTTGAACAAATGCGTAGTTAGAATATACTTACCCAGTTAGATAACCCTCGGCCATTTTGTCCACCACATCCTGAAACAAATTCTGCGACCGATTTCCTAACTCCTGAAACTGGACATTGTTCAGTGTTACTGCTGTTGCCCTAGCAACTGACAGAGCACGAGTATAATCACCTGAAAATAAATAGAAAACGTAGAAGAAACGAAACGATGGCGAAAATGCATTTATTTTTAAATAATATAAATTAATCTCCACCACTAACTTCTGAATGGCCCGGCATGGCCAGGTGGATAAGGCGCTCGACTCACAATCTGAGGGTCGCGGGTTCGAATCCGCATCCCACCAAACATGCTCGCCGTGGGGGCGTTATAATGTGACGGTCAATCCCACTATTCGTTGGTAAAAGAGTAGCCCAAGAGTTGGGCGGTGGGTGGTGATGACTAGCTGCCTTCCCTCTAGTCTTACACTGCTAAATTAAGGACGGCTAGCGCAGATAGCCCTCGTGTAGCTTTGCGCGAAATTCCAAAAACAAACAAACAAACTAACTTCTGAAATAACGTTTCGTCCAATCTAAACCCTGATTTGACAAAAGTCTGTGTGTATGCGAGTATTATGTCTGTATTATGTTTACCTACTAGAAGAAAACATCATATATTTTTATTATATAAGCCACCAATTGTATTAACTTCATAAAACTGTCAGATACTCTATTTATTTATTAGGTCGTCAAGAAATTAATGTCGCTTTTTTTAGAACAACTTATACATCAAAACAAAACATTTATTAAATGAAATATTCTCCATTCTTATCGATGATGCTTTAACATCTTACAATCAGGTTTTTAATGCCCTGATTAAATAAATCACTTGGCTTTGAAGCAAAAAACGTGTCGATACCCTTTTTAACACCCTCCACATTTGCATACTTTTCCCCATTAAGATGGTGTTGCAGCAAACGAAAAAGATGGTAATCTGATGGTGCCATATCTGGAGGATATTTCTAATTACAGCTATTTATTCTTAACGATATTGTTAATTAACAGCTCAAATATATTCAAATTGATAAAAAATA